ATACTGAAACCCTCCCGGACACCCACGCTTCGTCACGGCAGGGTCTCAGGGTGCAGGGGCCCAGTGAGCAGAGCGAGGTTTATTAAGCACTTGCTGTATGCTGAGCACTGTGCCCAGAGCTTTGTGTGTGCCATCTCATTTAACCTCTTAGCAACCCTATGAGGTGGAGCTATGAATAGCTTTGTTTATAAAAGGAGGAAAAAGAGACCCAGAGAAGCTCAAGGTCATGCCGTGGAAGTGGGGTGTGAACTCTGACTCCCGGAGTTTAGGCTCAGAGAGCATTCAGTCAACCCCCTCACGTAGAGAAAGGAGACAGGAAATGAGGTTTAAAGTCAGAAGACACAGGTTCCCATTCCAGCTCCCACCAGCCCTGGCGGAGGCTCTGTTTTTATCTGTGAACAGGGGATGTTCCTAGGATCCTGCTGACAATCAACGACAACGCATGAGAAAAAACCTCAGGAAGGGTTTTCATTACGATGAGGAAACCAGGGCCCAGAAGGAGGAGGCAGCTTGTGCACAGGCACTCTTACTCCAGCTTCTTTCCCTGAGGCCCGGGCCTCCTCCTCTGCCTCTCTCTCCCTCGCTCCCCCTCACCCCCTACCCGCACCCGCCGCTGCCCGCTGCTCAGGCCGCTCCCTCTGCCCGGAGCACACTCTCCTCCTCCCTGCCTTGCCTGGCTGACTCCCACCTAATCTGTTCAGGACCAGAAGCCTTTGCTGACCACAGGTCTGGATGGGATGGCCCCAGCTGTGCCTCCCACCAGGCTCCCCACTCCTCACTGTCCTGTTATCACCTGTTTACCTGTCTGTCTCCACCTCGGCTGTGAGTGTCAAGTTGGCGAGGTCTCTCCTACTCCCACTGAATCTACTGTGCCCAGCCCAGTCTCAGCACACTGGATGCTTGTGCAATAGATGGATGGATGAAACCACACAATTTAGTGACCTAGCTAGAACCAGGGCATATTTAAATGCTTGGAGCAGCCTCCTCGGTTATACCACTTCACCCTGGTCTCTCCAGTGCTGGATTCCTTCCGGGACAAGCCTGTGAAGGGGAACCTTAGGGCGCGGGGAGTCAGTGCCGTGCTTAAGTCCCCTGTTGTGCCACATGCTAGCCGTGTGGCCTTAAGCCTCAGTAAACTGGGTATTTTAACAACATCTGCATGAAGATGGGTCAGGTTTTCTGCATACAAAGGTAGCCCTGGGCCCGGACAAGGCGAGAACTCAGTACCTGGAGGCTGCTCCATCCAGCAATCAAGGTTTGGGGGACAGCCTGGACTCCCCTTCTTCCCACGCAGCTGTCCAGGGCCCGGGCCACGCTCCATCCAGTTCTCTTTGCTCTCACATCTGGATGGGGCTCTGTCCCCCAGCGTCACACCAAGGCCCGGTCCACCCCAGGAACCGCCAGCCCACTCCCCCGCTGACCCAGAAACCCAGTCAGCTTGCTCCCTGCTTGCCAGCTCCCAGCCCGCTGCCCCCCTCTAGGGCCCGCTGCCCCCCTCTAGGGCCCAGAGCCACACCCACATTGCCACATGTCACACTCCCCACACCTGCCTATCCCCGTGCCTTCCACAGTTTCACAGACACTTCAGGAGTGGGAATGGGGCACAGCGACTCCACCTGCCACAGCTGGCACACGCCCTCAGCTCCTAGTCACCCTAAAGTGGTGACAACGTCTCCTCTGTAGGACACCGAGCCCACAGCACGCCCTTGGTAGAGGGCGTGCCCACCACTCCGCCTCCCTGACTATCTGATAGCTTCAGTCAGGCATCAGGAAACATGGCTGATCAAAATTACAGAGCTGTTGTACACATGCATCGACCTCCACGTCTGTCCCTGCAAGGCAGGGCGCTCGCCCCGACAACAGTCCGGTGGCGAAGGGAATGGACGTTCCCGAGGCCCTGCAATGGCCATGCCCGCCTCCCCCTGCAAGTGAGCACAAGCTGTGGTTTTGCCCATGGGGGCACTGGGCTAAAGGAGGTTGAGGTGCCCAAGTTCTCGCAGACCGAGAGCGGTGGGTTGCTCAGGACACTGGGCCCCCACCGCACCCTGGCTTCTCCGAGTGACCACAAGGCCCTCCTTGACTGGGCCCTGCCCACCTGGTCTCCTTCACTTCCTCTACAAACCACGCCATGGTCTACGCTTCTACTCTGGGCTCCTTGCAGTTCCTTCACATTCATTCAACACACACAGGGGTGATTTTTAAAAAGGGACAACGATCCTTGCTCGCATGAGCTTATGTTCCAGTGAGTAGACAGACAATGGACAATGGTTGTCAGCGAAAGCGTCTAGTGCACCGCACTGGGTGGCAGAGGACGCTGGAGGGGCTGGACAGAGGTGATGGGAAGTGACAGTGGGCGGAGGGGCAGGGACAGCCCCGCAGAGTCCTCAGGAGGCCGCGTTCCTGGAGCCTTCACTGAGCGGCATGGAGGGGGGGTGGGGGTGGGGGTGGGGTGGCTGAGGCGGAGGGATTGACGGGGAGCGTGCGGGAGGCAAGGTCACGGTGGAAATGAACGTGGGGGCCTTCGGGGTGTCCGAAGGGTGTTGGGTCTTTCTCAGGGGGGATGGGGAACCCTGGGTCGGGGGGGGGACAGAGAAGGGACGGGGGTGCTCGTCAGATACTGTTCTGACCCGGGTGGAAGCAGAGAGAATTGAGGGGGAGGGCAGTTGTAGGATCCCGGGTCCGGGAGGATGGTGGCTCAGACCAAGACGGCAGCCCTGAAAGGGATGAGAAGTGGTCAAACTCTAGAGTTTTCTCTTCTCATTTTATTTTTTTAATGTGTACATTTTACTCACGTGTTTTTATAAATACAGGATCCAGATGTATTTTGAAGAAAGTGCCGACAGATTGGATGTGGGCTGTGAGATACGGGATGAAGAATTTCACATGCAGGTTTTTGGCCTGGGGTGGGGGGTGAGCAAAGACGGAGGAGGCCCCCGAGCTAAGGTGGGGACAGAGGGCGGCAGAGGCGCTGGCGCGCGCGCGTGTTGCATTTCCTTCCGCCTCCGCCCTGGGAGGCTCTGCACGACCCCTTGGCCACCCCCGCTCCTCCTCATCGCTCAGCTCCCGGAGGAGAGGTCAGACCGCCGGGTCCCTGTGGGAAGCCTCGCCTGACCCTCCTGGGCGGGGCCGTGGCTCCTGAGCCGACCCCACCCCACCCCAGGGCCAGCGTTTCCCAGCCCATTTTGCAATCGCCTGTTGACCGGTGTGGTCCCTGGTCTGACAGCAACTTGGAGTCTGATGCGTTTCGCTTCTCTGCCCTTAGCCCGGGCCTCCGCGTGTATTCGCTGAGGGGACTTGGTTGCCCTTCCTGGAGAGCAGGCTTCCCCAGTGAAGGTCAAGGACGCCCCCTGCGAGCCCGCCTTGCTCCTCTCAGAATCGGGCAGCGCCGCCGCCAGGTGGGCCTTGGGTGCCCTCACAGGCCCATTTCCTGCATTTCACGGGTCCAGAGCCGAGGCCCCGGGAGTGGAAGCCGGCCCCGATCTCTCACCAGAACCTCAGTCCTCCATGCTGAGCGCCCACTGCCCGGCCCCCTTCGACCTCTGTGACAGATGGCCGGACACCTCCAGCGCTCACCGGACCCTGCTGTGGTCAGGGATCCCCAAGGAGGGCGGTGCCTGGCCCGGCCTGGCCCCCAGCTCACGCCTGCTTTTCTGCAACCGCTCCCCTCATGGAGCTTTCAGACCCTCTCCCATGGCCCAAACCTCAAGCTTCCCTTCTGCAGTTGCTATGACTACAGCACATGTGGGCAGAGCAAGTGGAAAGAACGTACCACCTGACCGTGACCCTGTGAGCGGAGTCAGGCAGAGAACAGGAGCCCCGGGCCCCAGACGCTCGGCAGACTGCCTGCTTCTGGCTTCCCTGTCTGTCATCACCCCAGGGACAGCGTCACTCAGTCCAGATTTTAAGTGTCTGAACTTGAACTTCTAATAGCTGCTATGGCTCCTAATGCTCTCCCCCAGGACATTTAGACCCAATTTTGTTTGCTTGTTGTTTTTTTTTTAAGTCTCTGAATCCACAGTGCCCAGCACTGTGCCTGACCCAGGGCAGGAGCTCAATAAATGTTTGTTGGGTGACTGAGTGATCACATCTCCCTGGGTGTTCTTCAGTATTACATGAGCATGGCCTTTCTCCTCCCAGCCTACAAAGTAAAGGGCAGTGGCGGCCATGTCCACAGTGTGTCTGTGGCCTCCCAGGGCAGCACAGTGCTGGGAACCCAGGAGTCCCAGTGAATGAAGACCAATTACACAGGAAGCTATGCTGCATAACAGACCACACCAAGACTGAATGACTTAAAACAGCAGCCTTTATTTAGCCCACAGTCCTGCAAGCTGGCAATTTAGCCTGGGCTCAGCCTGGCGGTTGTTTTGGTCGTGGCTAGGCTCCCTCGTGTGGCTGTGGTCAGCTGTGAGTTGGCTTTGCTGATCTTTGCCAAACATTCTCACCTGTCTGAGGTCTTGGCCGAGACAACCGGGCTGAATGACTCTGGTCCAGGCGGGCGCTGATCCTCCAGCAGACTGGCCCGGCCCTTTTCTCATGGTTGAGGCAGGTATCTTGAGAGAGCCAAATGCACTAGACCTCCTACAGCCTAGACTAGGGAACTGATAGGTCAGCACTTCCACTACATCCTATTGAACATGCGGGTCCTGAGGCCAGTTCAGGGTTCCGATTCAAAGGATGGGGAAAATACCCTACCCCTCGATGGAAAAAGCTCCGGTCACCTTGTGAGAAGTAAGGATAGAGAAGTAAGGGTAACTGTGGCTGTTTTTGCAATGCACCATACAGGCTGGGCATTATAAAGATAAGGGTCCACCCAGGTTAGATCACTTCAATATTTAATAGAATTTATGTCTGATGTAACCAGGAGCTTCTAAGTTGGGATGGAAATTTTTGATGGTGCCAATTCCCTCTGCCACGCCTTCTTTCTCCATTTCTTTGACATCTTCCTGGCCACAACATCCACGCAGCAGCAGTGGGTGATGTTCCCATGCCCATCTCCTGGGAGGTGAGAATGGAGTCAATTTTCTCCTACCTGAGGGTGTTTGGAAGGCCGAACTCGAGCAAGTGAGAAACAAACTCCAAGGATGCTCCTCAGGTCCATGGCGTGTGTGCCAAGACTTTGTTCTCCAGGATGTCTGCTTTGCTCACAGCTAGATCTGGGTTGTGGGCCCACTCCCAAGTCCACCCTGCAGCCTGATTTGGGGTAGGGGTAGCAAGAGAGTTCAGGGAAGGTCCTGGGACCTCTTCCTCCTAGAAGCTTCCTGGGATGGGGGTTGGGGACATCCCTCTATGCTGTCACCTTGTTTTAGTGCCTCCTAACACTTACTACTATGGGAACATGTCACTGATTTATGTATACACTTACGCCTGTCTCACTCTATAAGAACGCCCTCTGATACTGAGTGACAAAAGGGTACACCCGGCCAAATGCCAGAGGGTGAGCTTCATGGGCTGGAGCTGGTTGGGATGATGGGAGAGGGCTTCGGAAGCGATCCTACAGCAGCTACTGGCCGACAAAAGGATCCTATGGCCTCCCTAGCACCGGAGTTTTTGTCTGCCACACCGGGGCCGGCTCAGGAAGAACTGCTTGAAGTTTTTCCCGTAGGTGGGCAGGCTCTCTTTGAAGCAGTACGCAGATCGCTTGTCACACTCGCAGGCCCCCAGCCCACAGAGGCAGCCGACACCAGAACCCAGGGCACATTCACCTGCAGAGAGACAGAGGGTCACTGGGAGCTCCCAGCTCACTCCCAGGGTTTGGTTGAAGATTTGGGAGAACAGAGAGCTCGCTGTAAGGGGTCAGGGGTTGAAAACAGAAAAGGAAGGTCACTTGGAGTCCTTTTCCTTCGTCTCCAAGGCCTGATCACAGCTGGACACGTCACAAGTAGTGGTATAAGGGCAGCCTAGAAGAACACGGGAGAAGTCGGGAGTGTGGGCTGTGTGGAGCGGGCGCCCTAAGTTAGTGCACCTGGGTGGTGTGCGGGCGCGTGGGAGCCATATCCTCAGCTCATATCACATTTCCAACCACTTGCTTGGCTTCTCACGTGGATGCCTCAGTCGTCAACAGCTTAAGATGTCTGAAAGGAAGTTCATGATGCAATCGCTCCCTCCGCCGACCAAGCCTGTCCTTCCTCCACCCTCTTGGCTCAGTGGATGGCACAACCTCTTACCCGAGCCAGAAAACCAGCAGCTAGCCTTGATCCCGCCCCTCTGTGACTTTTCACACCCAGTCCACCGGCAAGTCCCATTGATTTTTCCCTGTTTAAAATATTCCATGCCCTGCCCTCTTCTCTCCATCTTCTCAGCCACCACCCCAATCCCTGTCCTCACCAGCTCTTCCTCCCTAATGGAACAACGTAAACAGGGGTCTTCTTCCTATGTAACTGGATTAGGATCACCCACCCGCTAAAGCTCTGCTGTTGGTTCCCACTCTTTGGGGAAGGTACCCTGAACACTTGCCACAGACTCCAAAGCAGGCTTGCCACGGTCTGGCCCTCGCCGGCCTCTCCATCCTCGCTGGCCGTCACTCTGCCACCTTCGCTCTTGTCCAGCATGCCAGCCTCTTTAGGTCACATGCCTTGCTCTGTCCTGTCCCAGGGCCTTTGTACTTTCTGCCCTCTTTGCCTAAAACAGTTCTTTCTAGGATGTTCAAGTGGGTAGATCCATCCCACCTTTTGAGCCTTTGTCAAATTTGCCCCTGTCAAAGATCCCCTCCCTGACCGCCCGACCCGAGGCTCTCTCCAGCCACTCTTACGCCCCTGTTTGTTTCATTTGCTGTACATTCATAACTGGTACTTCTCCTTTATTTACCTGCTTGTGTCTGTCTCTTCTCAGCTGAGTATAAGCTCTGTGAGGCTGTGACTTCGTCTGTCTGTCCATCACAGTATCCCCAGCATGCAGAATAAATGCCGGCACATAGTAGGGGCTCAATAAACAGCCGCTGAATAAATGAAAGAAGACTCCAAAGGCCTTTGGGATGAAGCATCTGCCCTTTGGCCAAATCACCACTAGATGGGCATCTTTTGTTTAGTAGTCAGAGCTGCAGGGCTGTGTGTGTGTGTGTGTGTGTGTGTGTGTGTGTGTGTGTGTATGAGTATGAGAGAGAGGGAAGGGGGGGAAAGAGGAGTCTAAGGCAGAGCTCCCTCTTTTTAGCTAACTCCACCCAGTTCCACTCTCTTTTGAGGGTTGGGGCGAGAAAGGGAGGCAGCCCAACCCCCTGGTTTGTTGAGTTTGGGCGAATTAGCTTCCATATCCTAATTTACAAAATGGTGATAAAAAATAATAGTGTCAAAACAAGTAACTGTCTACTTCATCGGGTTGTGAGGATTTCTGTGTGTTGACAGATGGAGTGGCTGGGAGCACCGGGCCCCTGGAGAGTGCCACACGCATGCCCATTATTAGGATGATGGCGTGCCCTTAGCGTCACATGGAGGACGAAGAAGACTCCTCTTAAGTGGGAGCAAGCGGGGGCTGTAGTCGGTTGCCTCGCTCCCTCTCCGAGGTCCACAGTTCCTGCAGGAGATGTCCTCCCCCATCTGCCTGACGTTGTGAGTTCCTGAGAACTGCGGACGCCCACTCTACGCCTCTTCATTCACCCTCATGACAGACCGTGCCGGGGATGTCCCCACCTCTGGTTCTCAGCTCCTGCCACCTGGATCGCCTTTGCCCTCACACGCCCCTTCCCCATCTCTGAAAATCCTTCAAGATCCAACAAGCCCCCAGCAGTCCCAGGAACTCCCTCAAGAGCCCTGGTTCATGTCCACGTCCAGGTCTGTCACCTCAGCTGTACCCAGCGCATCCCTTGCTTCCGTCCCTGGGCAGCTGCTGTGTTCTGCAGGGGTCCACTCGGTCTATGGCTGGTCCTCCCAGGGGAGCAGGGCTACTTGGGCACAGGGCCCAACCCCATTCAACCTCACTCTCCCCCAGGAAGGGCCTGGTGCCACACACTGCCACCCACCCAGGCGCTGTCTCTCTAGAAACCTGGGGCGGGACACTTTGTCTCCCCGCCTCAGCCCCCTCCTCTCCCCTTCCCCTCTTCTTCTTTTCCAACTCTCCTTTCTTCCATCTCAGTTCCGCAAACATCCCCTTCCTTTCTCTCACGCCCTTCTCCCCTTCTTGCTTTGTCTTCCAACCCTTTCCAACGCGTGGAGTATGATTCTCTCCCGACATTTGGTTCTGCTTCTAAAGGCTTGCCCAGTCCCTGGGCCGTCTGGAAGTGACCTTGAGTGGTCTGCAACTGCGGACTTTCCGTTGTGGGGGCATCAGGCCTGTCGTGGCCTGGAGCGAGACAGCCCTCGGCCAAGAAAGGCCATCTTTGGAAGCCGTCTTTTCACAACAAGCCTCAATCCAGATCCTGCATCTTCCAATGTACAGGTGGAGAAACTGAGGCATGAAAAAGAAACTGACAGCTTTAGGGTATTCTTTCTCATTCTGTGGAAATACACTTCCACTGACAAGACAAAGCAAGGTCTGCACAGGTGCCTCGGGCTAACCCGGATGCCTGCCAGGCCTCTAACTGCCTCTGAGCCGGTGTTCACATCCTCTCCCCAGGTGCCGTTGTTCGGCCTCAGGGTATTAAATGCCACCTGCGCACCGGCAACTCTCCTGTTCCCACACCAGCCCAGGCATCTCCCTTGAGCTCTAGACTCCAATATGCTCGTGTCCACTCGACTTCCCTCTTGGCATCCGACACGCATCTCAGACCCCGTGTGGCTCCCAACAAGCTCTTGCTGTGTCTTCACAGTCTGCTCTTCCCCATCGGCTCAAACCAGAGGGTGACACTGCCTTCCTGTCCACGGAGACTCAGGCGGAGAGCCTCGGGTTCAGCCTCTCTTCCCTCCCCACCCCGCAGCAAATGCGGCAGCAGGTCCTGTCACTTTACCTCCAAAACACGCCAGGTACCTGACACGGCTCCCCACCTGCACGCCATCACGCTCATCCAAACTGTGGTGACTTCTCCCCACTCCTGGCTCCCCTTTTTCTTTCTTGCTCCCCGACTTCTCTGCAGTGGCCATAGTGATCTCTCTAAAGCAAACTTAGTGCAGATCACTCCCTGCTTCAAAGGATCCAACAGCTTCTCCTGCAATTAAAGCAGAAAGTGAGCTCCTTACCCCGTCCCCCCAGCCCTGAGGAGCTCGTCTCTGTCCAAGGTCCACCCTCATTTCCCCTCCTTCCTGCCTCCTCTGCTCCCAGCACACTGGCCCAATGCCACCCCCTAACGAGGGCTTCCTCAGCCACCTAAAGTAGCCATTCTTCCCTCCATCTGCCTTTGTCATTCTTTACATTGCTGCCCTGTTTTAAATGCTTCATAGCACTTGTCACTACCTGAATGTACCTTTACTTCTGAATACTTTATGATCTGTCTCCCTCCTTAAACACAAGCTCCTTCCGGGCAGGGAGTCTGTCCTTTCTTTGCAGATCTCCAGCCCTAAGCACGCAGTAAACACGCCATCGCTGCCTGCTGCTGCCTCGCTCTCTGGACTTACGCCACCTGTGAGGCAGCAAAAGAAGCCCCGTCCCAGGAACCAGGAAGCCAGGCTCTGGGTCCAGGCCTGCTTCTTTCCAAGCCTGTTCCTTAGCTTTCAAATGAGCATAAGGACACCTGCATAGACTATTTAATGTTTTGTCATTTATTCACTCATCAAACAAACAGGTATTGAGTTCCTTTCATGCGCCTGGCCTTTGACTAGAATCTGGGGGTACAGGTCTGCGTGAGCAGACCCCACACGGCATAGCTCCGGGACATCCTTCTTCTCCGTGGGCTCTGAGAAGGCATGCCTTCCCACAAGACAGACTTGTTCCCTGCTCCCCCAGAACCCACATCCTACTGGGGGGAAAAGTCAATGCAAAAGTAAACAGGATGATTTCAGGTGGAGACCAACACTAGGAGAGAAACTGGCGGTGTGACAGCGAGGGTAAGTGTTGTGAGAAATAAATTCAGTAGCGAAGGAGGAAGATCTTTGCAAACAACAAATTCCAGCGGTTACCATGTTCACCTTTCCCCCTCGGGCAGAGGAAGAAGTCACTGTTGGCTGCAACCCGGTCTCTGCCTCCCACGGCCAGGTCCCTCCCCGCACAACATATGCAGGCATGTGTGGGTGGAGGGGGCTGTCACCACTGGCTGATCTTACAGTCCCTTGCAAATGCCAAGTACTTATGTAAGCCCACTCAGAGCAGAGATAACAGCCTCGCTGATCGCTGCAGGGCAGCCTTCCTCACCGGGCAAATTGGCCTCAGGGCCTGGGTTACAGGCCTGTCTCTGCACTCAGCTTCTAGTGACATTTAGAGACCTGGACAAGCCAAGTTGTTTTTCTCCTTTCCCTCCCCTGCTCACCAACTGCATCCCAGAGCAGCCACTGGTTGCTAGGCAACCTGTGACTGGGCTTGGGTGCAGGATTTCAGAACCCAAGGCTGGGGAGGCGATTAACCCGTGCAGGGCAGCTCTCTGAACTGCAGTGTGACTGGGGAGGGGGAGCTTTTCTTCTATATGGGGGTTCATGACCTGAACTCAAGGAGGAACAAGTGCCAAGGAGATGCTTCAAAGAAATCTCTCAATAACAAGAAGGAAAATCCCAGTGCTTTCACACGAAGGGGAAAAGAAAACTTAGATGAGAAAAGCAAGCTCAACTTCTAAAAAGAAGGGCATTACCTAAGCACTTGCTATGGGCCAGAGCCTTTCATTGGGTTACTTTAGTTAGTCCTTATAGCAACCTCATAAAGTGCGTACTATTACTTCCGTTTTGCAGATGAGGAACCTAAAGCCCAGGTGGTTTGCAATTGTCCAGCTAGAAGGCGTGAAGCCGGGATTAGAACCCAGTTCTGCCCAATTCCAAAGCATGGCTCTCTCTGGGCCCTAGAGCTAGGACAGAAGGATCTGGGGCTCTGCAGAGGAGCAAACTCTATCCGCCTTTCTCTGCCCCAGGACCGGGGTTGAGCATCCTAATGAGTGTGCTGCACACATTAACATCTGCACTGGTGTGAGTCCTCCAACCAAGTGCGCCCTGTCGCCCTCCGGACAGCCCCCTGCCACTGCGGAGGGCGGCGTGAGGCCGGAGCACCAGCTCTGGGGTCAGAGGGCCTGGGTCCCAAGCCCAGGTTTTCTTTCCCTGGCCCTGTGACCTTGGCCAACTCACTTAACCTCCCTGAGCCTCAGGGTCCTCCTCGATAATGGGGACAATACGCTCAAATGCCTACCTCAAAGGCTTGTCATGGGGGTTCCAGGTGCCGGCACAGGTGCTGGCAGAGACGCTCATTACCCACAGCTGTTATTATTGCACCTATTTTATGGATGAAGAGACAGAGGCCCAGATGACTCGGCCAGACAGCGTGTCCCAGAGCACTGGAAAGGCTCAAGACACGTGTGTTTTTTCATCTCGTCAGTTACTTGGAACAAGCCTTTCCCCTCTCTGGGCCTCAGTCTCCCTGCTGCTACTATGAAGGGTTAGTCTAGATGGCCACTAAGGGTGTCTTCGGCTTAGAAAATACCAAGGGAGCAGGGCCCGAGGCTGCCTTGCTTGGTGCCCCGGGTCCCTGGCACAGCGCTGGCCCTGGGGGCAGGGAAACATGGCGGCGGAGGAGCAGGCCGAGCTGAAGCTGGCCCCCCCGAGGCAGGGGCCGAGCCCCCAGCCCACTGCGTCTCAGGTCTCACTGCTGGGACCGGGGCAGGGGGGTACTGCACAGTCTTCTTGGTCCATCTTGGTGCGTCCTGAGCGAGAACCCAGGGTGAGGACGCAGCAGGGACCTGGGGTCTGAGCGCTGAGCTCCTCCTATAATGGGGGCGACACAGGCAAGGGAAGCAGTGGTTTCCTGACCTCAGGAGGAGACAAGAATTTGAAGACACACTCACAGCTGTGAATAAACACACATGGGGACAAAAGGGGTCCTGCTATTCCGCAGGCTGAGGAGGAGGAGAGTCCCATGCTCTCAGGGGAGGTCCGACCACCGGCTCCGCTGGAGTGAGCAGCAGGCACCAGGAGCCTGTGGTCTGGGGACCCTCAAGGGGGCTGGTCTTTAGGCTGAACTTGCCCTACCCACACCCACACCCCAGCAGCCCCAGAACACCTCCCGGGACATCGGGGCCCCTCCCCGCGTGCCGGACACTCAGTATTTGCCTGCCCTTGTTCTTTGTCCTCTTCCTCGAATGGCCTCGATGACATGTGAGTTCCCTCCCCATCCCCGCCTATTTACTTTTGTGTCCCCCTGGCCCCTGTCACAGTGCTTGGCATGCAGTCACCCTTAACAAATATTTGTTCAACTGAAAGACAGCCGAGCTGCTTCGTTAACATGTGGCAGACAGAAAGTGGAAAGTTCTCAGCAGCAACAGTTGCCAAGCGAAGCTGCAAATCCAACATAATCTCAAGTCAACAACTATTTACTGAGCACGTACTGCATGCACTGGCTCCGTGCTCCCAGAGGGTGCTGGGTGCAGCTGTGAGTCAGAGCCACCAGAAAGAGATGCAGCAAAGGCCTCCCAGGAAGCTCTGGTTCTCGGAATTGTTGTTTACCGTCTCAGAGCACTTGGAAAAATCTCATTCCTTAAATGTTTTCTGGGTCCATGAGGAGGCAGATATGAAGGGAAGCCTCAGGTTCAAACACATGTCCCCACAGAGAGCTTACTCACAGGCCATGGTGCTGTTGACGATGTGGAACTGGTAGCCGTTCAGCAGGGGCTGGCAGCCGAGCTGCTTCAGCTTCTCGTAGCAGCAATCGTGGGCCAGGCAGCACCTGGGGGCCAGACCAGAGGGGGAGAGGGGCTGTGCCGTGGGCAGGCCCCGGGAGCCAGCTGGCGGACCTTGGGGGAAAGGACTCACCTGCCTCGTCCCCTGGACAAGACGGCGCAGGAAGTAGGGAGGCAAATGAATGACAACACTAAAAATAATACTAATAACCACTCCCATTTAGTGCACCCTGTCCAGTACTTATCTCATTAGCTCCTCGCAGTAACCCTGTAGAGTGTGACCACTGTCCCCATTTCATAGGGGAGGAAACGAGACTCGGATGTCAATTTCCTGAAAGCACCCAGCCAGAAAACGACAGACTCGGGACTTCACTTTAGGTCTCTGTACTTACTCATTCACTTAATGATTTTTTTTACTGAGCACCTACTATATGCCAAGGACTGTGACAGTCTCTGAGGAGACGGTTGTCAGCAAAAACACAAAATGCTTCAGTTCTTGCTCTCGTGGTGCTCAGAGTGACGGGGTGGGGGCAGTGGTGGGAAGGGAAAACATTCGAGGGAAGGAAAAGGCCTGGCAATGGCTTCGGCTCACTTCTTCAGCCAGTGTAAAAGGAACGCAGAAACCTGGCAGTGGATTCAAAGATGCGCAAAAGAAAAGGCCTCGGGCTGATGCCCTGGGCCAGATGCTTCAGTCCTCCCCTCCCCTGCCCTCGTCTGCAAGCAGGCTCTTGGCCATCTGTCATCTTTGGCTAATAGTGTTAAATTTCTCATCTGCCTTTGAACGTGAACAGGGGAGGCACAGAGCATCAAAGGGCGTTGACTTTAAAACAGGCAAATTCTTGTTCAAATCCTGACTCCGCTGCCTAGTTGCTGCATGTCTTTGGGCTTTACCACATGGGTTTCACGGGTCCTCACTGTTGTCGCCTGTAGAGCAGGGATGGTGACACTGCCCCGGCCATTTGTGGCGAGGATTAAATTATGTCCCATGTGCAAATGGCCAATCCCAGTGCCCAGCACACAAGGGGCGTTTCGTAAGTGTCAGGTCCTGTTCAGGGCTCTGGGAACATCCAACTGGAACATTCCACGTCTCAGGAGCCCAACCCAGGGTAATCAAGCTCTAGGAATGACCCTTCAGGCCCCGCTGGGGGTGGGGGGCGTATTTATCCTGGCTAGGTTCAAAGTGGCAAGGAATATTTTGTTTCTTACTTCCAATGAAATGACTCGCACACTCTCCAGTTTCCTGCCTCCCAGACCCTCGCCAGATTGTACCAAACTCCGTTTTTCTAGGAACTCACACTCCCTGACCCCCATCCTTGGAGTAGGCCTGGCAGCCAGACTTGTGTCATGTGACCTCCCCCGGATGGATGACTTTCCCGGCAAGGGCCGCTCGGTTCCCTCTCCTGGAATACGGAATTGAGGCTGGGAGAGAGTGGGTCAGCTTTGCTCCGCTCATAATCCTAGCAGCTGGGGAGCTGAGAGAAGCCCACACTTGCCACGAGAATCCAGAATGTTTCTTGAGCTCTGAGCAGGACCAGCTACGTCATTTGCAAGGCCTGGTGCAAAATGAAAACATAAGAAGGTGCAGGGCCCCAGGGACGCTGGTCCCACGCAGCTGCACGGGCCACACGTTCAGAGAGTCAGCCCTGGTCTTGGGTTCCTCGAGGCCTCCCTCCAACTCTGATTTGGTTTTTTGCTCAGCTTCACCTGAATTGGTTTCTGTTCGTTGCAATGCAAGAGTCCTGATACCCTCGCTCTCTTCAAGCACAGATTTCAATGCAAAGTACATGACAGGAGGCCTTGGGGCCTCTGCACTCACCTGTCAGTGTCATCCACGGGGGTCCCTTTGCCCCCAAGCCCGCAGTAGCAGCCATATCCATAATATGAGAAGAACGCACTCCGCCCTGTGATGTGCTTGACCATCCTTTGAAACTGCCAGAAGCTGCTGTGGGTGAGGGCTGTCACTGCCAACGAGGAAATCAGGGAGGAGAAAAAACTCAATGAGAGCCGTGACACTCTGGTGTTCCTCGTACGGAGTGCCTTGCATTCAGGGTATCAGGAGCCGCTAAGCGTGGCGCATCAGCAGGCTGGGATCATTGGCCCCTTTAACGGGGAAGGAGATAGGATCAGATCTGCCACATCACACAGCTAGCTTCCTGCTGGTCCAGGATGAGAACCAGTTTCCATGATGTTCAGAACACTACTGCCAACTACAATCTTTCCCCAAAGTAAAAACCCACCGCCCTGGGCAGAAACTCCCTCAGGTCTGATATTCAGCATGAACGGGGAAGGTGCAAAGCCAGAAATGCCCGGCCCCGCAAATATCATAGGGCTGACAATCTCACAGAAGAAACAAAATACTTAGGAGGCAGAAAAGGTAACCTTGATCCATTTTTTTAATGGCAAATACACATGGATCCAGCAATTTTTACTTCTAAAGAATGCTTACAAGAGTGGCGGAAAGTGTGTGTGTGTGTGTGTGTGTGTGTGTGTGTGTGTGTGTGTGTTTGCTGCAGTATATGATATGAAAAAATTGGAAACTACCCACTTATCTACTGACGAGAGATTGTAACTAAGTGATGTCTTGAAAACATACTACTTTTAATAGCAATATCCCAAGGCAATGGGATTGAGGAGGTAGGTGGAAAGAAAAAAGGGCAACATTAATTTTATATACATTTATGTGGTTTGATATTTTTTTTTTTTTACAATGAGCACGTATTACTTTTCCATTAAAATGTGTTCAATATGTGTGTGTAAAGTCCTGGAGAACATATACCTAAATCTTATAAATGGTTATACCTGGGTGAAGGAGGAGGCTTGGCGTCTGGGAAGGATGACAAGGGGCTTTATTCTGTTACTCTGTGCCCACTCATTTCACTTTTTAATTACAAGCATATGTTAATTTTGCCATAAAAATAAAATAAAAACATGAACTTGAAGAACAACAGAGACCAAGGGTTAGGGGAAATTTTCCCAGGAGCTTTCCCATCATATAATGTGTTTTTGGATGTCTTATCTCAAAGTGCTAAAGAGGGGGGCGGAGCCTGGGGGTGGTCCCTGCCGCCCAAGGGCCCCTAGAGAGAGGGTGGGATCTTCTGGGCACCCCATGGGGGTGGGGGTCGTGGCAGAAGTGGCACCTCCCGCATATGGGTCCTCTACACCATGATCTTGAAAACTGTAAATTCCACCACTAAGAGAAAATGAGAACCTCATTTTTGACATTTTGACTTAGGGACCAGAAAGTTACTGCTCCACAGGTGAAACAGGCAGAAGAATGGATTTAGAGACATCTCTACTCAACTAATTGAAGAGTCAGAGTTTCCAGCAGAACTAATACTTTTCCCCATTATGTTCTTTTCATTTTGCAGAGGTATGCAATCTGATCTACTGGTAACGATGACTTATAATTACCAATTATTCCATACGTCACCATAAGAATGCCTTTCTTTTATTTTTTAAAATATTTTATTTACTTATTTTTAGGGAGGGGAAGGGAAGGAGAAAAAGAGGAAGAGAAATATCAATGTGTGGTTGCCTCTCTAGCGCCCCCTACTGGAGACCTGGCCTGCAACCCAGGCATGTGCCCTGACTGGGAATCGAACCAGCGACCCTCTGGTTCGCAGGCCAGCATTCAATCCACTGAATCACACAAGCTAGGGCAAGAATGTTTTTCTGATGGAAAAGAATTGTTTCTAAATTAGCTAGATCTACGTCCAAGGTTGTACTCTGGAATCCACATGGCTTGACATAAAGGCAACAAGTATCCAAAGGAAGGACCCCTAAAGGGGATGCGTGGGATAAGACAGAGTCAAACGCCCTCTTTCTTAGCAAATGGTCGCAACCTTTGATTTTCCAGAAGTTTCGGGAGCTCCCATCACTGGAATCAACCCATTTTGCAGAAGAGACCGAAGCAGGAGGACGATGGTGGGAGCCTGTTCCACTCCTGGTTCTCTTTTGAGTGACACCCGATTTCCCCCTCCCCTGAAGCCTACCCTCAGGAGGGACCACCCCAAAGACACAGACACACAGGCTGGAGGACAGTGCCTGGAAGTCTCCCGGCTGCTCACTACTTACAGCAGGAGACGAGGACCACGAGAACGCCGAGGACCCTCATTCCCGAGGGGCCCGGGGATCCGAGGCACCGCGGTCACAGCTTCCTCTGGTCCCCAGGGGTCTGTCAGTTGAACTCCTGTTTGGGGAGGAAATGACCAAAATGAGGGCCCAGCTGCAGCGCAGACCTTGGAAAGCCCTCAGTGGAGAGCTCAGAGCAGAGAGATCTTTTTCAAACCCAATTATCTCTAAATATGATACTCTTTCTGGTATTTAGACCTAAATATAAAGATAAGAAGGCTTCAGTTGTTTGAAAAGTGCAAGTGTTGAGGGTTTTTGTTTTTTTTTTAATTTCTGTCTTTGGCAACACTATCCCTTCATTTTATTTTTTTCTTTTGAGGAGTCAGTATTCCGTCTGTTCCCAAGTTCAAAGGCATATAGGAGGTCCGCGATGGAAATCCAGCGCAGGAAAGTTGAGCCCCATTTGTATGGTACCTACCATGCACCCCATCCTGTGTTTTCCTTCCTTAATGCCCAGATATCTTATTCATCAACCTAGCCCCTAGGCTTCTTCTCCTTAAAGTGAGACTAAAAATGCCTATCAATCATTTCCCACATTTATTAAATTAAGCTGGGTGCTGTCTTCTTTAAAGGCCTCATGGGTATTACATTATTCAATCCTCAGAAAAATGTGAGAGGGTTTATCATTACTTTAGAGATGGAGAAACCGAGGCCCAGAGACTTGATGAAAGGCAGGAGTGCAGTAGGAAGCGTGGCGTGCCCTCCTGTGGCCGCCTCCAGGGCAGCAGCCGGCAAGTGGGCAGGTCTCTAAGAGCTACCCTCAGAGGCCCATCAATTCATCTTATGCAGACAGTGATGAAACACCAGTTGGCTTTTTTCCCCATGGAGAAGATAAGGAGGAAAGAGCCTGAAAGATCCCTAACACAAGGCTCATTCCATTTTGTTCACCTCCTTTTCCCCAGAGTGTAAGTAGCACAGAGCCAAGGACAAACCAGTAATAACGATCGGGGTGGGCAACATTTGCATCACGCTTATGTTATACTTTGCATGGTTTCTGAGCACTTCATGCATATTTTACTCATTAAGTGCTCACATCCCCCAGCTAGATAAGTACTATTATTATCCTCATTTTGCAGATAAGGAAACTAGGCATGGAGAGACGGGCAGTAAATAAGTATTTGGGGAATGAATGGATGATCAGAGGACAATCATGCTTCAAGTTACAGAAATAAAAACAAAACTACAGCCTGCTGAGGACCAGCATGGGGCTAAGCCTGGGCTGTGGATTATCTCCTTGAATCCTCTTGGAATATCCCCAAGGAGGCAGAGACAATCAACCCCAGTGTATTGATGAGGGAATCGAGGCGGGCGGAGGTTAGGTACTTGTCCCTGCACTTGGTAGAGCCAGGACTTACCCCAGCTGTGTCTGACTCCAAAGGTGGCACCCTTAGCCCCTTAACAGTTCTCCTGCTTACCTGCGGGTCACTGAGCTGAGGGCTGTCCGTATCCGAGACACAGCTGAGGAAATAAAACCAGACGAACCAAGCATCTAAGCAGATGCCACAACGCTCTCATTTCAGACACAGTCCTAGCAATGCATCAGCCTCTTTCTCTCAGACCCCAGAAGTTAAACAGGAATAGAGCTCAAGTAGGAAGGCTGAGGAGAGGGAGAAGTAATGGAAACAATAACTGACCAGGCCTGTGAACCTGGGGCCATTGCGAGCAGGGGCAGGCGGCTCTAGCCACTTCAACAGTGCTGTTCCTGAAGCACAATTAGGGGCTTTGGGTCGCCGAGAAAAGATTTCGTTTTGCCAGAGACTGCAAAGGTACAAAGCAAATGAGCCCCTGCCTTCAGCCCGACCCTGGGAGAGGTCGTTTAGACTTCGAGCCAGATATCCTTGCAGGGCCAGCGGAGGGATACCAATTGGCAGCTTGCTGGATCTCTCAGTAGGAAAGCCAGCTGCGGAGTCAACATCATCACCATCATTAATTTAATTCTCATTTGCCGAGGACCTGCCGGGAAGCAGGCACTGTGTGTGCAAAGTACGGGAGTCAGACACAGACTCATGACCTACTGAAGGAGATGGGCACTGTAAGATGAAAAAAATATGATAATGAGCGTTAGTCCTGACCAAGCGCTTACCACGTGCCGGCCACTGCGCTAAGACTGTTACATGCGCTCTCTCGCTTCACCCTCCCAACGATCCTATTCCTATCACCTCCATTCCACAGATGTGGAAACCGAGGTCCAGAGAAGTTCAATCGTTACCCAAGCTTCTCCGCTAGCATGTGGTACAGCCCAGAATCCACTTTGACTCCAGAGCCCATGCCTGCGACACCCATGATGGTGCAAGAGGTGGACACAGAGAAATTGCCGTGCAGGAATGCTGGGGGCAGGGTGGGGCTCAGGGCTCCAGGGCGGGCTTTGGAGTCAGCCGGACTGGGGTTTTAAAATGGCTCTGCCACTCAGTAGCCGGGGGCCCTGAGGCTTAGTCATTTTCTAAAGCTGTGTCTGTGGAAGATTAGAGGAGCTGACCTAGTGAGGGTGCATGGTGCCTTCTTGGTTGGGCATGTTCTACTGGACCAAATGGGACCAGAAAAAGAACATGAGGTTCTGGGAGAAAGGTGTTTCGGAAAAGCCTTCCTGAAAGAGGTGACTTTTAAGATGGTCCTTGAGACCTGGCTGGTGTGGCTCAGTGAATTGTGTGCTGGCCTGTGAATCAGAGGATCGTCGGTTTGATTCCCAGTCAGGGCACATGCCTGTGTTGCAGGCCAGGTCCCCAGTAGAGGGCGCACAAGAGGCAACCACACATTGATGTTTCCTCTTTCTCCATTTCCCCTCTCTAAAGATTTTTTTTTTTTTAAAAGATGGGACTTGAAGCATCAGTGAGCTTGGATAAACTTCAAGGAAGGGAGCAGGGTGAGGTAGGCATGAACAAAGACCCCAGAGATAAAAATCTGAGGGCCCATTTGGGAAGCAAGTTGGCTGGGGCTCAGGGAGAGGGCTGGGGAGTAGGGGGAACCGTGGCTGGGAAGGAGAGTGAGTCTACATGTGAGCTGGCAAGGCCGTTACCTCTGGCTACGGTATGTGTGCATTATAGGGCTCATCCTTTGCAGACACCTATTTTATTTTTTAAAAATTATTTTTATCTTTCCCAAGGACGTTTTTTTCATTGCTTTTAGAGAGAGAGGAAGGGAGAGAGAAACATCGATGCAAGAGAGAAGCTTCAGCTGGTTGCCTCCCGCAGTCACCCAGACTGGGGATCAATGGGGGATCAAACCCGCAACCTAGGGACGTGCCCTGGCTGGGAATCGAAATCCCAACCTTTCTGTTACGGGATGCAGCTCCAACCAACCGAGCCACGCTGGCCAGGGCTGCAGACACCTTCTTTAAAGCAAGATGGGAGACAAAGGCAGCAGAGGCAGCCTTGCTCTAATGAGCAGATGGGCACAGCAACCAACCAGCCAGCTGCCTTTCCTTCCCCCTGGCCTCCCTCTCATTTCATGCTGTGCATTACATGACACCGGGGAGCAAAAGGTGTGCACTGCTAACTCCTGAAGAGGCCCTAGGCACACGCACCATTGCACTGCCTGCCCCCGTGCAGGTGCGCGCGCGCACACGCACACTAACACATGGCGGGGGGCGGGGCAGGGGGGAGAAGCCAATTTGATTTTCCAAAAGATTGCATAACTCGTAGGTGATATTAAAATAGCTGATGAAGAATCCACTTTAATCTTTTTCTGGTGGGCGTTGGAAGGGCTGAAGAGCATTGCTTAGATACTTCTGACAGAACCATTTACAGGAAAACATGCCACCAGCAGAGTTGCAAACCCATCAGCTCCCCAAACTGCCACCTCCTGCACCTTCTTGGGGCCTCAGATGCTTCCCTGGGTGTCCAGGGTGGGTGAGGGGGTGACCCGAGCAGGTGGCCTCCCCCGCTAGGCCCTCACCAGCAGCTCCCACAGGTGAGGTGCTTCCTTTGTGAGACGAGCAGAAACACCGCGGCTGAAGTGATCGCCTCCTTCACAGACCTCAAAGGCCTTTGTGTTGGGGCCACTCACTCACACATCGCCGTGTCCAGCCTGTGCCTGCTCTTCCACACTCGGCTCACACTGTACTGAAGATAATCTGATTTGTAACTCTCTGGGTGTGCGATGTTTCTTCTCAACCGAATGGGAATATCTTGAGGAGGGCAGGCGTCACGCTCATATTGTAACCCTGTTCCACGTGTCTGGGACAGACGAGATAGCAAATATTTTGCCACAACGCTAAGTAATAAATCCTAATTCTCTCCTCTAGTTATAGGGTTCTTGTGTGTCTACTAACATTATCTTCTAATATTATTGTCACTAAATTATTGACCTCCATTTTCCAAGAGTCTAGAACAGTGCCTGGAAGATGCTAGTCCAGGTAGGACTCCTTCTGAAGCTGTCTTAATTCCAGCGTGAGCTCTAAAGGGCAAGCAAGCGTTAGGTAAAGAAAGGGGAGGAGGGGTCGGAGAGAGTGGAGGAGAATCTTCTAGGCAGAGGGAATGGAAGCAGCGAAGGCCTGAGCTACGGTGAGCACGTGCACACATGTGGCCCCGGGACAGAGAACAGGCTTCAGGGCAGGCATGGAGGAGCAGTCAGTCTTGGACAACATCAGAGGATGGGTCACTCCTGCATTAACACAGGAGGGAGGGGGGAAAGCAGGGAGACAAAAGTAGACAAGTATGAAGGTCTGCTGGCAGAAAGCTGAGAACATTTCTATCTGATGGCTTCTGTTTTCTCTCTGGAGAGCGAAGTTTACGTTCTGAGTGGAAAGAGGTAAGGGGAGAGGTGGGAGGTTCCAGGAGAGAGAACAAGATTTGAAACAGCCACCAGGCAGAGCAGAGCAGAGCTGAGTTGGGCTGGGAGGAGCGGAGGGATTTCTGCGTAGGGTTGACGGCTCAGCCGAGGTGGGAGACCACGCGTTTCCATCAGCGTCATGTGGCTGGTCCAGATTTCCTCAGCACCTGGCTGTCAGTGGCCGGACTGGGGTTTCATCAAGTGGGAGGAATGGAG